TGCTGGGAAGTTTCTGGAGGACAGCCTTACTTTGCAGCTTGTCTTGCCTGCAGAAAAACATAGAAGGTTTACTGGCATTCATTTCCTGTCCACCACTATCTCCAATCACACTGAACAGCACCATGGGCTACACTGATCTGAACTTCTCTTCCAGTCAAGGCTTTCCCCTAAATGCAGATTGCCCTGCCAATTGTCCACTGCCTACTTTCTAGTAGGTTTCACTGCTTCTCTGTCTGTCATGATCAAATTCCAAGATGTACCCTGCTCCTACAACTTAGTGCTTTGTCAGAAATAGGCAGAGCTCCATGGTCTGGAGACCTGGATGAAGTGGGGGCTCTTTCCGTTTCTCTGTAGGCTCTCAGTCACTGTTTAGAGGTGGGGATTCATCTCCTCTCTATGTTTCAGTGCCCAGAATGACTTTCAATGACTTTCACATGACTCACCTTTGATTCTCTTCCTTCTGTAGCTCTGTCTTCCTCAATGGCCCTGGGTTCACGGGATGCTGCCGTTTCTGAGGCACCAGGTTCTCCTTGTTTGGGCCCATGGGCTGCAGAGTCAGGGTCCCATCCGAGCACTTGATGGGGCACCTCCTGCTGTGTGTCATGTGACCAAAGGCCCCACAGTTTTTGCACTTGACCTGCGAGTAGTAAAGATATTTGTTAGTTGGATCAGCAGAATGTACAGGCTTACTGTATCACAGGTCAGTTGAATAACCTATTTTCAATTCTTACTTTAATGTTCACTTGGAGTACAAACCTAGACTTGGATCTCAAAACTTGTGAAACATTTCAGAAGTATTGTAGTGCCAAAGCCTGTATTATGGAGGGATGTTAGACTGTAGGACAGGAGATTCCACAGGAGAAGATAATGAACCAGGTTTCAGTGAAAGTGCATGGTTAGCTATATCACTTAATGGGACATCAGGTCTCCCGAAGACGTCGAATGGCAGAGAGACCTACTGAGGATGTCTCAGGTCAGGATAACACAGGATGGAAATGATCACTTAGGTCACAGTGGTAGAATCGTCCATGTCCCTATCCAGTCTGTGTGCATGAAGAAGGATCCTTGAGTCCCTCCAGATCCCAACCTCTGCGTACCCTGGGATTCTCCTCCTCTGGTGGGGGCACCCTCAGGCCTGCTGGTCCCCTCTGTTGCTTTCTCATGTTCTGAGATTGATGGACTCCGTGGGTCAGAAGTTCTGGAGAGTGCTCTGCCATTCACCCGTCCACGTGGGAGCTTTGGAGGTCAGTTTTCCTCAGCCATTGATTTCTGTGTCCTGAGTGCAAGAAAAATAAATTTTGAAATGATACACAAGGAGAATTCCCTTTAGAACCTCCTTTGACCGGGTCGAGGTATGTGTGTGTGTGGCCACACCGTTAATATTTCAATATTCATTGACCACGACACACCCTATTCCGTGACTGTTTTTCTCACTGTCTGTTGAATTCTTTCCTTATGGAGGGTGAATCCCATCTGAATAAAGTAACATGGAAATAGATGATGGTAAAAGTTAAAGAAAGGAAAATAAAGGAAAAGAGGAGTGAGCTTGGTGGTGTAGGCAGGAGGGATGCCAGGGTGGGAGGTATCCCTGTGCTCTTCGATGTGTATATATGAATTATACGAAGTGTTTCACCTAAGAAAATAGAAAGCTAGTCAATTACCATAACTAACATTCACTACCGTAAACAAAGCAGGCTACTGGAATGTATTAGCCTTAGAATTTGGAATTCAGGTAATAAATATTATTTGGAATGATATGATTATTTTATTTCAATTTTCTTTTTTGACAGGCAGAGTGGACAGTGAGATTGAGAGACAGAAAGGTCATCCTTTTTTGATTGGTTCACCCCCAATGTCAGCTGCAGCTGGGGAGCTGCAGCCGGCACACCATGCTGATCTGAAGCCAGGAGCCAGGAGCATGCTCCTGGTCTCCCATGCGGGTGCAGGGGCCCAGACACTTGGGCCATCCTCCACTGCCTTTCCGGGCCACAGCAGAGAGCTGGACTGGAAGAGGAGCAACCAGGACAGAATCCGGTGCCTGACCGGGATTAGAACCCCGGGTGCTGGTGCCACAGGTGGAGGATTAGCCTAGGGAGCCGGGGCGCTGGCGTGGATGATGCATTTTATCCTCCTCTGTACTAAAAAATGAAGGGAAGAATCTGTCCCAAACAACTAATGCCTTATACCCAGGTGTCACTTATGCTGCATTTTATTTTTCTTGAGTGATACCCGTAGAACAAATTCTGAAAAGAAACCCACCTGCACGCCAGCTGTGCTTCTCCTGTCTGTCTGCAGGGACTCAGGTGGGTGGATGCTGCAGAAAGAACACTGGAGAGAAGGAGGCTCCCAGGACAACAGAAGCAAGGCAGTGAGGGAGGAGGGATTCCAGGCTGGCTTTTATCTGGCCCCTAGGAGGCAGGGTCACACCCATCATCCAATCAGATGTTTACTAATCCAGTCAGACTTGATGGGCTTACCTCTGGGAACAATGCCCTCTCTGTTGTTTCCTGATTAATTAGTTGCCTTCAGAATATTTTGACTTCGTAATAAGAACCAAACCTTTGCATTTAAACTTCACTCTGCACTGTGCCATTTCCCGCTCTGTTCAGTTGCCTCCTTCATCCACGAGGAAAGGAGGTGCTGCCGTTCTGGAACTGTCCCTGGCAGCGGGTGATCTCACTCCAAAGGTGGCCCTCAGGTTCTGCTTCCAAGTGGAAGGGTGCACCAAAGACTGTCTACTGCAGCAGACCGTGCTATGAGTTAAGGAGCCCGAGAAGTCTTTGGATTTCTGTATTAGAAATCTCAGGAACGGGCACTGTGCTTAGGCTCAGAAGGAGATCCAGGCTCTAGGCTTTGGATCCGCCAAGCTCCAGCCATTGTGGCCACTTGGGGAGTGAACGGGCAGTTTGTGTGTGTGTGTTTGTGTGTGTGTGTGTGTGTACATGCAAATTGTTGAGATGCTTACTTAGTACAGAGTTAGTCTTCTGTGTACAAAGTTAATTGAAAATAGGTCTTTTTTTTTTTTTTTTTCATTTGACAGTTAGACAGTGAGAGACAGAGAGAAAGGTCTTCCTTCCGTTGGTTCACTCCCCAAATGGCTGCTACGGTTGGTGCAGTGCTGATCCAAAGCCAGGATCCAGGTGCTTCTTCCTGGTCTCCCATTGTGGGTGCAGGGGCCCAAACACTTGGGCCATCCTCCACTGCCCTCCTGAGCCACAGCAGAGAGTTGGACTGCAAGAGGAGCAACTGGGACTAGAACCTGGGCCCCTATGGGGTGCCAGCACCGCAGGCAAAGGATGAACAAGTGAGCTGTGGTGCTGGCCCCAAAGTAGGTCTTAATGTGATATCAGACAGGAGAGGGGAGATGTAGGAGGAGAAGGGGAGGAAGTGTGGGCGCTACGGCGGATATAGTGGGAAGAATCACTCTACTCCTAACGTTGTACTTGTCCCTTTGGGACTGGCTTACTTCACTCAGCATGATGTGTTCCAGATTCCTCCATTTTGTTGCAAATGACTGGATTTCGTTGTTTCTTACTGTGGTATAGTATTCTAAAGAATACATATCCCATAATTTCTTTATCCAGTCTACCATTGATGGGCATTTAGGTTGGTTCCAGGTCTTGGCTATTGTGAATTGTGCTGCAATAAACATTAGGGTGCAGACCGCTTTTTTCTTTATCAATTTAAACTCCTTTGGGTAAATTCCAAGGAGTGGGATGGCTGGGTCGAACGGTAGGGTTATATTCAGGTTTCTGAGGAATCTCCAGACTGATTTCCATAGTGGCTTGACCAGTTTGCATTCCCACCAACAGTGGGTTAGTGTCCCTTTTTCCCCACATCCTCGCCAGCATCTGTTGTTGGTAGATTTCTGTATGTGAGCCATTCTAACCGGGGTGAGGTGAAACCTCATTGTGCTTTTGATTTGCATTTCCCTGATTGCTAGTGACCTTGAACATATGTTCTCCCTGATCGGTGACAACTGACTGAACACCAAAAAGGAAACCTCCTGAAGTGAAATGGACATTATGAGAAATGGTGACTTGATCAGCATAGCCCTGACTGCTAATGGACAACTTAATACATTATCCCTCATAGTATTTTTTTTTGTCTGTTCTACTTAATATGACTGGTTTAATTCTGTAATTATCACACAGTTATTCTTAAAGTGTTGAAAATTAACTGAAATGTGATCCCTGTTAAACATAAAAGTGGGAATAAGAGAGCGAAGAGATGTATAATTTGGGGCATGCTCGGGCTGACTTGCCCCAATTGGTAGAGTTGGAAACATACCAGGGGATTCCAATTCAATCCCATCAAGGTGGCATGTGCCAATGCCATCTCACTATTCCAAGTGATCAATTTCAGTTCACAATTGATCATAATGAAAGGACTAAGAGTCAAAGGGAGCACATAAACAAGTCTAGTATCTGCTAACACTAACCGATAGAATAAATAAAGGGGAGAGTGATCCTAACGTTGTACTGATGAAATTTGTATTCATTACATAAAAGGTTACTTTAGGGAATAAATCAATAATTTTAAAACTAAAAAACATAAAGCATGCCTCTATAAGTATTTACAAAAAAAAACAACTATTTTCAGCCATCAGTCTTTCCAGCATTCTTCTTTGTTTTCCTTTGAGAAATGCATGGCACATATGAGCACATCATGGCAACCAAGTTCCACAATAGGTAGATTCAGCCTCATCCTAACAACTGCATATTCTCCAGGTGTTGTAATAAAGCAGTTAAGTCCCTGAGGCTTAGGGAATGAGACCACACCCTAAGTCCCCTCCCTAATCCCCTTAAAGGGCTAGCAGTTGATTGGTGGAACTTGTACTGGGTGAAGGGTGGGGTGGGCAGTGTGGACTATAAAGGATGGGTGAGAGGACAGAGGTGATCATTAGCTGACAAATCTCATCCAGAGACTGATCTTGTCCTCCAGAAAAGGACACTGTTGGCATAGAAACATGGCATTAAAACCAGATGCATTTGAGGTTCTAGGACAGCATTAGCCCATCGGAACCTCAAAAGATATGGGGCCCCTTTGTTGCCATGGGAAGACTGAGGCTGCCATGGAATGCAGGGAGACTCCCACTCACCTCCACCACCTAAACCATTTGAGCCCTTGAGAAAGTCTGCAGACATCTCCTGCAGGCCTGTGTCACCTCCTGCAGGCCAGACTGACTTTGGATGCCCTGCCTCCCAAATAAACAAGCAGAGCTACTGGGCAGAGGTAAAGGAACCCAGATCTCAGGCTACACTCACGTGTGAACTCCAGAAAATGTCACCTTATTAGTTGATTCTTAAGAGACTGAGAGAAAAACAGAATCAGTTTTGAAGTCTTTATTTATTTATTTGAAAGGAATAGAGAGAGAGAGAGAGAGAGAGTCTCCCAGTTTTCCATTTGTCATGTCTGTGTTCTCACTAGGAGGTGGGTTCTCAGTTCTCATGGACAAGGTCAGCCTGCTGCACCCTAGCCCTACTTTGGGATCTTCCAGACCCCGATGCTCTCTTACCCCACGAATAACTAGAGACACCAAGACTTGAACAGACGGCCACAATGGCTGCAGCTTGGCAGGCCATAGCTTCAATTCCTGTATCATGAAGCCAGACAGCAAAGAGGTTTGTAGTCTAACTCTTCTGCAATCTTAGAGACCTCTGCCCTGATCTCTCATTTCCATAAGCTCTTCCCATACAGGAAGCAGCCTTGATGAAATATAATATACATTATCTATCTATCTATCTATCCATCTATCTATCTCTGTGTGTGTGTGTTTGTCCACGTGTGTGTGTAGTGTCTAATGGGGGTGTCAGCACTGCGACACACTGGGTAACGCTGCAGCCTGCAGTGCTGGCATTCCATATGGGCTCCGGTTTGAATCCTGGGGGCTCCACTAACAATGCAGCTCTCTTCTATGGCATGGGAAAGCAGTAGAAGATGGCTTATGTCCTTGGGCCCCTGCACCCGCATGGGAGACCTGGAAGAAGCTCTGGCTCCTGGCTTTGGATAGGCACAGCTCCCCTGTTGAGGCCAATTTGGGAGTGATCCAGTGGATGGAAGACCTCTCCCTCTTTCTCTCTCTCTCTGTGTAACTCTGACTTTCAAGTTAATACATAAATCTTAGAAAAAGAGTTTCATGAGGGTAAACATGATTGTGCTAAGCAGATTTTTAACACATGGGTGATTCTAGAGCAGGGCAAAATCAGTTTCATTCTACAGGGAGGACTTACCCTACATTCACGTTCATGAAATATTCCCCCACATGGGTACATATTAAGACACACCTGTGATTGCAGTGGAGCTGGTCTTTGCTTGAGATCCTGTATTTCATTTTCTATGTTACAGTTTATGTCTTTGAGAGGCTCAAGGAAGGGAGATCCAGATAGAGACCTGCCATCCCCTGGCTCACTTCACCAATGACCTCAATTTCCAGGAGCTTGATCCCAACCAGATCTCATCCACAGGTGCTGGAAGGGTGATTATTTGAAGGATCCTGGAAGTCTCCCGGGGTCAGCATTAGCGGAAGGCTGCAGTCAGTGGGGAAACATTGGTATCAAAGCGAATATGTGACGTGAGCATCTTAACTCTTCAACTCAATCCTAGAGCAAATGCCCAAGTCTAAGGTTCTGTATTTTACAAAAGTGATAGATAGATGTGGTCAAGGTCTTCAAGTGCCAGTAATAAACCATGGTAAATAAAAATAGTTATAAAGTGTTTACCCTGCTAAGTGAAGACTGGACACGGTATTTCCTATTTGACATCACTTTATTGATGGCAAAATTACTTTGGTCAATACATGTCCATGTGGCAATACAATAACTGAGAAATACAAGGTCACGAGGACGTTCAGCTGAAGGATTTCCTCTGACACCGACCAGAGACAGAGGCCCTGCTCTCAGGGCTGACATTACCTCAAAGATGCAGACCCCAAAGAACAGCCAGAGGGTCTCAAAATACAGTTACCTGAACAACAAGTACTGATGAACTGTTTAGTATTTATATTACAATGTCACACCTAGTCCACCAGGTCAATCAATTCTATAAAATCCTTCACGTGAAGGCCATTATTATCCAGTTAAATGCAGTAGGATTGAAGTAATTCAAAGAGGTACTATGTGTCTGCTCCCAGCATTCCCTCTGGCTGCCAGGGTGCTCTTGCTGGACATCCGAGGACATTCTGAGTACACTGGCACAGCCTGCTTCCTGAATGTTTCCCTTCCCCAGTACAACCTGAGGAGACAGGTGTGCATTGCCCTTCCAGTGGACGTCTCACTCCCAGTCACTGTCCTCAGAGGAGGAGGAGATCTGAAGGGACTCATAGAGGAGTCTCAGTGGAGATTTCACACAGGGTTTCTCTGTCTTCTTGGGGACAGGAGGGTCCAGAGGAGTTGGAGTTGGCTTCCCATGGGGCTGAGGCGAGGGGGTAGTCATGAACCTGCAGCTCCACCAGTTATTGCCTAATGCACTGAATACCATTCTGAGGGACGCGCCTGGCACACAGCTAGGAGCTGGGTGATGGGAGGTAGTGGAGCCCTGCACAGTTTTCTCGGGAACTCTGTTTTTTGGTGGCTGCAGGTCAGTGTTGAGCTCTGGAGCTGGTGAACTCTGTGACACAGGAAGTGACGCTTTTCTTCCTTGGCCTCTTGTAGTTGGCAGCTCCTGCAGACTCTGGAGAGTCCCATGCTTAGGTGACTGAGTGGTCCTCTGTAGGTTTTGTAAGGGGCTCAGTCTTGGTCTCTTGGCTGGATTCCAGGAGGAATGATGGGGCATCTTGAGGGATCTCTTGCCTGGAGGCCCATTGCTGGGTTTGGATTGGGGACCCATTCTCAGAGCCTCAGACTGTTTACTGGGCTGTGGCTCCTCATGTGAAAATCTGGCTTGTGTCTGACATCTGGAGCTTCCGTCTAAGTCCTGTGTTCTGGAGGCCTTCTTGGGGATTTTGAAAGCAGACAAATTAGGCCTGTGGTCTGTCTGCTTCACATTGAAGGTGCGGTGCTGGCCAAGTTGCTTCACTGCAGGTGGGCTGGGGTCAGCGGTATCCACCTCCTCACCTTCCTTTTCGCTGGATCTTTTGAAGCGACTCAGTTCAGGTGCTTTTAGGAGAGATGAGGAGCTACTGGGTTTCAGGGCAGATTTCTGGATGGCTATCTGACTTGTGAGGTCAGGATGCAAGACCCTTGTTTCTTGGGCTCTGTTGAGAGGCATAGGCCCACTTGGTTGCTGTATGAAAAGACAAACACAAATAATAAGGTTAGGATTTTCTACCATAGAGTAAATGTGAAAACAGAGCAAGTAAATTAGTGAACACAGCGCAATAATTGAGTCCCATTATAATGACAAACAGCCATTTGAATGAGGACTGTCCACCTGCCCTTGTGATAATCAGAAATAAAGAAATGACACAATCAATTAGAAACCTCTGGGATGCCACCAGTTCATGGAACTATGGAACATGACTCTATATCTGTTTTGATGCAAACATGTTAAGTTACTGCACAATATTTCCAAAATCATCATTCCACTTTATTGAAGACGCCCTCATCATTTTGTGTCACCTACAAAGGATAGTTTTTCAGATGTAAAAATGGAGGATGAAGGAGATGCACTGAGCTTGGGAGAAACGGTGAAGAGAATTGTGTAGGAGGAAGTGCACTCTTGGTAGAGAATTGGAGAGCAAACGTTCCAGGAAGCCCCATGGGTAGGCCTGGGTGCTGAGTGCTGATCCACAGCCTGAGAGCTTGGAGAGCTGGAAGTGTAGAGGGCCAAAGATGGAAGCATTTTTGAGACGGGGGAGAGAAGAAGGGCTGCAGAAATCCGTGGGTATAGAGCTGGAAAGGGAGAATGGCATAGGTCCAGAGTGGAGCCTGGACTGGGGGCTAGTGGTTGCTAGTGGTCACCTGTGGTGCCAAGGCAGTGGAGAAACAGAGCCAATTCAAATGAATCTAGCCAAATCGCAACCCGTGATCTAGCTGAGAAAGGACGGGTGCCATTCTAAAGGAGGGCAAGACTATGGAAGCTAGCAGGTGCACACAATACAGCTCACTGAGACGGGGCACCTGAACGCAGTGCTGGCAGCGGGGGCAGGCAGGCTTCAAACAGTGACTCTAGTGTGCTGGTGTGAGCCAGATCTTCTAGCAGAGGGAACATCCCGGCCCACCCCATGCCCCCTACCACACCCCTGACCCAGAGCTCGGCTGGGCAGTGACTGGGCAGGGGTGAATGTTCTTGAGCCAGCAATGCTCTCTGGACCCAGTGACTGTGGGAGTCCTATTTGCTGAGACCTTGGGGCCTCAGTGTCTACAGGAAAAGGTGTAGGGCGTGGCTGGCTATTGAGTTCTCACACACCCAACTATGGTGTTACCCTGGAACTCACCCCATCCTAGAATGTTGACAAGAGCCCCTGGCCACACCCACCACACACCTCCTGGTCTTCACCCAAAGGCCTGACATTCCACAGAGCCAGAGAAGCATAGCCATGAAGATCTAACTGAACAGTAGAACAAAGGAAATATCCATTCCACAAATGCCAAGAAAAATGAGAGCCAAAATTCAAGAGACAAGAATAAGGAAGTCATCATGACAGCCCCAAGAGGAACACAATGACATTTCAGTATGAGATTACCAAGATGAAGAGATCAAAGAAGTGACAGAAAAGGAAGTTAGGAAGTTAATCAGAGGATTACTCAAAAAAAAAAAAAAAAAAAGAAAATCCAACACTAAAGACAATGATACATGAATGACATGATTGAAAATACTTAGCAGGAATTTGAAAATTTAAAGTGAAATCAAAACGAAATTTTAGAAATAGAGAATCCAATGGATGAAATGAAAAACGCAGTGGAAGACCTACACTGCAGACTTGCTGATGCAAACGAAAAAATATTCGACCTAGAAGACCAGTTTTGGAAATCTTATAGTCAGAAAAACAAAGATGAAGAAAATAGGCAGTTACAAACAGTGTTGGAGATCTATGGGATATTATCAATGCACCCAACATATTGGGTCTTAAGATTTCCGGAAGGAGTGGAGAGGCAGAAGGGAATAGAAACTTATTTAGGGAAATAATTACACAATACTTCCCCAATGTGGAGGAAGAAGTACATGTTTAAGTAGAGGAAGCACATGGAACTCCTAAGAGATAGGATCAGAAAAGATCTTCACCATGACACAATGTAGTCAGACTATCCACAGTGAAACATGAAGAAAAGTTTCTAAACTGTGCTGGAGAGAAACATCAGATGACTTTCAGAGGCTTGCCAATGAGCCTCACAGCTGACTTCTCATGAGAAACCCTGCAGGCTAGTTGGGAGTGGTGAGACATAGTCCAAGTCTTAAAAGGCAAAAACTGTCAACCCAGAATATGTGCCCTGCAAAGCTTGCATTTATGAATGAAGGTGAAAAAAAGACCTTGCTTAGCAACCAGACATCGAAAGAATTTGTCGACGCTCATCCAGCCTTACAAAAGAAGATGCTTAAAGTTGTACTTAGACAGAAACTAGAAAGCTGGGCATCATTATGAAAGCAAGAGGAGGCAGAAAACCCACCAGTGGAAGAACAAAGGAAATCCACAGTAAACCATAGGAGGATTTAAGGGAAAATGGCAGGGCCAAGTCAATCCTTCTCAATAGTCACCTTAAATGGACATGGCTCCCATTCTCTAGTTTAACAAAAGGACCCTTTTATTTGCTGCTCGAACAAAACACATCTGAACAGCAAAGATACACACAGACTAAAAGTGGAAGGATCGACAAAGATTGTCCATGGGAACAGAAACCAAAAATGTGCTGGTGTTACTATCCTAATATCAGACATAATCGGGTTTAACATAAAAACTGTTAAAAGAGATGAAGAAGGGCACCAGGTAATGATTTGATGAAGGGATCATTCCAACAGGAAGAAGTGACTATACTAAATGTATATGCACCGAGGACAGGGCTCCTGACTATTTAAACATGTGAATAGACCTACATGGAGACATACATTCATTCAAGAATAGGGGACTTTAACAGCCCTCTTTCATCGATGGACAGATCAAGCAGCCAGAAAATTAGCCAGGCAACAACCGAGTTGATTGAGGATATAGATACAATGGACCTACAGATATCTACAGAACACTTCATCCCACAGTGACGGCATGCACCTTGTCCTGATCAGTGCACGGAATGTTCTTAGAATAGAGCGTATGCCTGGGATTTCAACAGCTCAACATTTATTCATGGCAAAATAATATAGAGCTTATTTTGGTGCAAAACTTTAAATGTTTGCAGAATATTTTTGAAAATCACACTTCTATGTAATCAAACACATCCTCATAATTTTGTGTCACACAAAATAATATAAGTTTTCAAAATAATGTTTCCTGTGAAGTTGAGCAAAGCTTTATTAGTACATCAAAGTAATGCAGATTTTTTTCTTTCTTTTCTTGTTTCTTTTGACAGGCAGAGTTAGACAGTGGGAGGGAGAGAGAGAGAGAGAGAGAGAGAGAGAGAGAGAGAGAGAGAAAGGTCTCCCTTCTGTTGGTTCACCCCCCAAGTGGTCACTACAGCTAGCGCACTGTGCCGATGCGAGGCCAGGAAGCAGGTGCTTCCTCCTGGTCTCCCCTGCAGGTGCATTGCCCAAGCACTTGGGCCATCCTCCGCTGCCTTCCCGGGCCACAGCAGAGAGCTGGACTGCAAGAGGAGCAACCGGGAGAGAACCGGCACCCCAACCGGGACTAGAACCCGGAATACTGGCGCCGCAGGTGGAGGATTAGCCTAGTGAGCCGTGGCGCCGGCCAGTAATGCAGGTTTGAAGGCTCTTTACTATCTGATGAGTTTTCATGGACAAGAAGGGAAAATTAATCCATTTACAGATGCAATCACCTACATGTATGAATCTATGTTTTGGTGCAGACTGATTCCAAATGTACCATTGGAATCTCCCTCAAGCATATGGTCTCCAAGCAGGCAATTAATTGTAGAATGCTTTTTTTAAACAAAAACATTGAATTCATGCTCTCTGAATTAGTATGGAGTTAACATGGAAAAAGTAAAACTTTGAAAAAAATGAAATTACAAATGGCATCTCCAAAGTAAGGAAATAACAGTCAACTAGACTTCATCAAAGTTTTAATTAATTCCTCACACAGAAGGGGCCATGAGAGTCAAGAAAAGCAAGGCTATCCTAGAGAAGCAGAGCATGGGCAGCCAGGAAACTCACACTCAGATCCTCCCAGGACTCAGTCACGTCCTTCCAGCTGTGCTGCTGCCTCCCTTGGAGGTTGCTGGGAAGTTTCTGGAGGACAGCCTTGCTTTGCAGCTTGTCTTGCCTGCAGAAAAACATAGAAGGTTTACTGGTGTTCATTTCCTGTCCACCACTACCTCCAATCACACTGAACAGCACCATGGGCTACACTGATCTGAACTTCTCTTCCAGTCAAGGCTTTCCCCTAAATGCAGATTGCCCTGCCAATTGTGCACTGCCTACTTTCTAGTAGGTTTCACTGCTTCTCTGCCTGTCATGATCAAATTCCAAGATGTACCCTGCTCCTACAACTTAGTGCTTTGTCAGAAATAGGCAGAGCTCCATGGTCTGGAGACCTGGATGAAGTGGGAGCTCTTTCTGTTACTCTGTAGGCTCTCAGTCACTGTTTAGAGGTGGGGATTCATCTCCTCTGTATGTTTCAGTGCCCAGAATGACTTTCAATGACTTTCACGTGACTCACCTTTGATTCTCTTCCTTCTGTAGCTCTGTCTTCCTCAATGGCCCTGGGTTCACGGGATGCTGCCGTTTCTGAGGCACCAGGTTCTCCTTGTTTGGGCCCATGGGCTGCAGAGTCAGGGTCCCATCCGAGCACTTGATGGGGCACCTCCTGCTGTGTGTCATGTGACCAAAGGCCCCACAGTTTTTGCACTTGACCTGGGAGTAGTAAAGATATTTGTTAGTTGGATCAACAGAATGCACAGGTTTACTGTATCACAGGTCAGTTGAATAACCTATTTTCAATTCTTACTTTAATGTTCACTTGGAGTACAAACCTAGACTTGGATCTCAAAACTTGTGAAACATTTCAGAAGCTTTGTAGTGCCAAAGCCTGTATTATGGAGGGATGTTAGACTGTAGGACAGGAGATTCCACAGGAGAAGATAATGAACCAGGTTTCAGTGAAAGTGCATGGTTAGCTATATCACTTAATGGGACATCAGGTCTCCCGAAGACGTCGAATGGCACAGAGACCTACTGAGGATGTCTCAGGTCAGGATAACACAGGATGGAAATGATCACTTAGGTCACAGAGGCAGAATTGTCCATGTCCCTATCCAGTCTGTGTGCATGAAGAAGGATCCTTGAGTCCCTCCAGATCCCAACCTCTGCGTACCCTGGGATTCTCCTCCTCTGGTGGGGGCACCCTCAGGCCTGCTGGTCCCCTCTGTTGCTTTCTCATGTTCTGAGATTGATGGACTCCGTGGGTCAGAAGTTCTGGAGAGTGCTCTGCCATTCACCTGTCCACTTGGGAGCTTTGGAGGTCAGTTTTCCTCAGCCATTAATTTCTGTGTCCTGAGTGAAAGAAAAATAAATTTTGAAATGATACACAAGGAAAATTCCCTTTAGAACCTCCTTTGACCGGGTCGAGGTATGTGTGTGTGTGGCCAGAAAGTGTAGTTTTCTAAAAAATTTTTGAACACTGTTAATATTTCAATATTCATTAACCACAGCACACCCTATTCTGTGACTGTTTTTCTCACTGTCTGTTGAATTCTTTCCTTATGGAGGGTGAATCCCATCTGAACAAAGTAACATGAAAATAGATGATGGTAAAAGTTAAAGAAAGGAAAATAAAGGAAAAGAGGAGTGAGCTTGGTGGTGTAGGCAGGAGGGATGCCAGGGTGGGAGGTATCCCTGTGCTCTTCGATGTGTATATATGAATTATACGAAGTGTTTCACCTAAGAAAATAGAAAGCTGGTCAATTACCATAACTAACATTCACTACCATAAACAAAGCAGGCTACTGGAGTATATTAGCCTTAGAATTTGGAATTTCAGGTAATAAATATTATTTGGAATGATATGATTTATTTTATTTTAATTTTCTTTTTTGACAGGCAGAGTGGACAGTGAGAATGAGAGACAGAAAGGTCATCCTTTTTTGATTGGTTCACCCCCAATGGCAGCTGAGGCTGGGGAGCTGCAGCCGGCACACCATGCTGATCTGAAGGCAGGAGCCAGGAGCTTCTCCTGGTCTCCCATGCGGGTGCAGGGGCCCAGACACTTGGGCCATCCTCCACTGCCTTTCTGGGCCACAGCAGAGAGCTGGACTGGAAGAGGAATAACCAGGACAGAATCCGGTGCCTGACCGGGACTAGAACCCCGGGTGCTACCGCCACAGGTGGAGGATTAGCCTAGGGAGCCGGGGCGCTGGCCCGGATGATGCATTTTATCCTCCTCTGTACTAAGAAATGAAGGGAAGAATCCATCCCAAACAACTAATGCCTTATCCCCAGGTGTCACTTATGCTGCATTTTATTTTTCTTGAGTGATACCCGTAGAACAAATTCTGAAAAGAAACCCACCTGCACGCCAGCTGTGCTTCTCCTGTCTGTCTGCAGGGACTCAGGTGGGTGGATGCTGCAGAAAGAACACTGGAGAGAAGGAGGCTCCCGGGACAACAGAGGCAAGGCAGTGAGGGAGGAGGGATTCCAGGCTGGCTTTTATCTGCCTAGGAGGCAGGGTCACACCCATCATCCAATCAGATGTTCACTAATCCAGTCAGACTTGATGGGCTTACCTCTGGGAACAATGCCCTCTCTGTTGTTTCCCGATTAATTAGTTGCCTTCATAATATTTCTACTTGGTAATAAAGACCAAACCTTTGCATTTAAACTTCACTCTGCACTGTGCCATTTCCCACTCTGTTCAGTTGCCTCCTTCATCCATGAGGAAAGGAGGTGCTGCCGTTCTGGAACAGTCCCTGGCAGCGGGTGATCTCACTCCAAAGGTGGCCCTCAGTTTCTGCTTCCAAGTGGAAGGGTGCACCAAAGACTGTCTACTGCAGCAGACCGTGCTATGAGTTAAGGAGCCCGAGAAGTCTTTGGATTTCTGTATTAGAAATCTCAGGAACGGGCACTGTGCTTAGGCTCAGAAGGAGATCCTGGCTCTAGGCTTTGGATCCGCCAAGCTCCAGCCATTGTGGCCACTTGGGGAGTGAACGGGCAGTTTGTGTGTGTGTGTTTGTGTGTGTGTGTGTGTGTGTACATGCAAATTGTTGAGATGCTTACTTAGTACAGAGTTAGTCATCTGTGTCCAAATTTAATTGAAAATAGGTCTTTTTTTTTTTTTTTCATTTGACAGACAGACAGTGAGAGACAGAGAGAAAGGTCTTCCTTCCGTTGGTTCACTCCTCAAATGGCCGCTAAGGTCGGTGCTGTGCTGATCCAAAGCCAGGAGCCAGGTACTTCTTCCTGGTATCCCATGCGGGTGCAGGGGCCCAAACACTTGGGCCTTCCTCCACTGCCCTCCTGAGCCACAGCAGAGAGTTGGACTGCAAGAGGAGCAACTGGGACTAGAACCCAGTGTCCCTATGGGGTGCCGGCACCGCAGGCGGAGATTGAACCAAGTGAGCTGTGGCGCTGTCCCCAAAGTAGGTCTTAATGTGATATCAGACAGGAGAGGGGAGATGTAGGAGGAGAAGGGGAGGAAGTGTGGGCGGTACGGCGGATATAGTGGGAAGAATCACTCTACTCCTAACGTTGTTTATGAAATTTGTATTCATTACATAAAAGGTTACTTTAGGGAATAAATCAATAGTTTTAAAACTAAAAAACATAAAGTATGCCTCTATAAGGATTTACAAAAAAAAAAAAAAACTATTTTCAGCCATCAGTCTTTCCAGCATTCTTCTTTGTTTTCCTTTGAGAAATGCATGGCACATATGAGCACATCATGGCAACCAAGTTCCACAGTAGGCAGATTCAGCCTTCTCCTAACAACTGCATATTTCTCCAGGTGTTGTAATAAAGCAGTTAAGTCCCTGAGGCTAAGGGAATGAGACCACACCCTAGGGCCCCTCCCTAATCCTCTTAAAGGGCTAGCAGTTGATTGGTGGAACTTGTACTGGGTAAAGGGTGTGGTGGGCAGTGTGTACTACAAAGGATGGGTGAGATGAAACAGGTGATCATTTCTTTACAATCTCATCTAGAGACGGAAGCATCTTGCTGCCAAGGTGGGAAGCCCTGTGACAGTGGCTCCTGGAGACATGATGGCCGCTTCTCCTCTTCAGGAAGTTGAGTTGAACTTCAATGTCTTTCAAAAACTCAGACATTCACATTCTTTCTTTTTTTTTTTTTTAAATTTTTTGACAGGCATTCTAACTCATATGGGGATGATGCTCATTCTGGTGTTTGTCTCCCAGGGAAATCACCACCCTCACCTCAGAAAGAGCTCCCGCTGCAAAGTGATTTGGCTTCGGGGGCGACCCATCTGGCTCCCAGTGGAGGAGCTTCTCTGAGCTGCAGCTGGAAGAGACCTTATGGCATTGGGGCCGGTCTGCAGAATACGGGCAACACCTGCTACCTGAATGCAGCCCTGCAGTGTCTCACGTATACCCCACCCCTCGCCAACTATATGCTGTCCCAGGTGCATTCTCAAACTGGATTTCTGCATCCTATGTGCTGTGGAACTCACTTTCTTTGGGCCCTCCACAGCCCTGTCAAGTGCTGGCTGCTGGTTTTCACACAGACAGGCTGGAAGGTGCCCACAAATTTCTGATGTTCGCTCTGGATGTCCTGAAGGCAGCAGGTCTGCCTGGGCTCACGGACGGGGTGGGTCCCCAAGAGGACCAATCTGCATCCCAGCAGATAGTGGGAGGACACTGGAGGTCTCAAATCCAATGTCTCCAGTGCCAAGGCATTTCAGAAACCTTGGACCCTTACCTGGAGATCGCGTTGGATATCAAGACAGCCGACAGTGTGGAGCAAGCTTTGCAGCACTTGGTGCAACCTGAAGAGCTGGCTGGAGAAAACGCCTATCACTGTGCTACCTGCCTACAGAAGACAGCTGCTTCCAAGACACTCACCTTGCAATCGGCTGGCAAGGTGCTTCTCTTTGTATTGAAATGGTTTTCTGATTTCACCGGTGAGAAACTTGGAGGACAAGTGCACTATCCCGAGTGCCTGGACATGAGACCTTACATGTCTCAGCAGAATGGGAGGCCACTGGACTATGTTCTCTATGCGGTTCTCGTCCACGTTGGCTTGAGGTGTCAATCAGGACACTACTTCTGCTATGTCAAAGCTGGCAATGGCCACTGGTATAAAATGGATGATGCTAATGCAACTGCTTGTGACATCACTTCTGTCCTGGATCAAAGTGCCTGTGTGTTATTTTACGTCCACAAGAGTGGATTTGGAGAAACAAATGGGAATGTGTCTTCATGCAGGGAACAATCACTACAGTGAGGCTGAAGACAGACATGGCCATACATCAGGAGAGCTTGAAAGGCATTCCAATATTAAAGCTGTAGAGTCAGAGGAGCACTTGGAGCAAACAACTCAGAAAATCACCTTAGATCTATGGCAACCCTTTCAATACCAGAACTGACCAAAGTGTACATCCAAGCTCAGGACAGTGGAGCCCACACTGCCTTGCAATGTGATCTGAATTCACCAGTCAAGATCTCCAGGGGGGATGAGGAAGCACCATCCTGACCAGGAAAGGGCCCTGCTGCACGGGGCAGCTGGGCACATCACTGAGCAGCTTACCATGAATCCAGGCAACCTCCCTTGTCTGGGAGGAAGGAGCAGACCTGCTAAGAGGGAGAACAAACAAGGAAAGAGGCCTCTGTTGCTGTTCCAGTGATTTTAGTACAAATGTACTTCACGAGTATGTGGTTGGGTTACACTGCACATATTAAGTGTGTGCATTTTTTAAAGATCGTATGTGTTTACTTAAAAGTCAGCGGTATAGAGAGTTTGAGGCAGAGAGAGTGAGAGAAAGTGAGGTCTTCCATCCAATGCTTCACTCCTCAGATGGCTGCAGTGGCTGGAGGTGCACTGCTCTGAAACCAGGAACCATGGATTTCTTCCAGGTCTCCCACACAGCTGCAGGGGCCCAAGTCCTTGCGCCCTCTTCTACTGCTTCCCCAGGCCATAGCAGAGAGCTGGTTCAGAAGTGGAGCAGCTGGGACTCGAACAGCTGTCCATATGGGATGCCAGCATTGCTGGTGGCATGTTTACCTACTACACCACAGCGCCAACCCTGTTAAGTGTGTGTATTGCAAGTGTAATATGTTTTTACATATCAATTGTTGTAGAAGTGAATGGTAATCCTACATTTGAATAAAATTTATTCTCCTTATACATTTACAAGTGATGAGAGACTGTGTTTTGTGTATGGCAGTGATCCATTTAGTTGTGAGCTTTAAGTGTGTCTCTAAGCACTTGTTGTAAATTCACAGAATTCTGCTTACTGATGGAATTCTGCTGAAGGTGAGAAAATAGGGGAATAATGGCTTCCTTCTTGTTTGGCTACAAATATAGAACAACGTCTCATGTTTTTCTGACCATCATGTCTCATTGAGGGCTTTGTGATAGTTTTCTCTAAATTGATAGTGCAGGGGCTCCTCATGGCCCTCTCCCTTACCACAGTTCATTGCCTCAGGTTGTCACAGTCCCTGGGAGGATGGTTTTAACCAGGATGAGCTTCTTGAAATTAACCATTGTCTTCAGGCATCAACAGCATTGTGTGATTGTCTCCATGGTACTGAACAGGAGCCCTTAATCCTCCAGAATGGCCAGTTTGCCTAAGGAAATTCTGGGTCAGAGACTGATCTTGGCCTCCAGAAAAGGATACTGTGGGCATAAAAACTACTGCAAGCACCTATAGGTTTGTCTCAATCAATTTAAAGGCAGGAACCCACAATAGATTCATTTGAGTTGCTAGGACAGCATTAGGACCCTTTGAACCAGATCGAGGCTGCGATGGAATGCAGGGAGACTCCCACCACTTACATGACCCAAACCATTTGAGCCCTTCAAAAAGTCTGCAAACATTTCCAGCAAGCCTGTGTCTCCCTCCTGCTGGTCAGACTGACTGGATGTCCCACATCCCCAAGAAAGATACACAGCTCCTGGGCAGAGGTAAAGCAACCCAGATTTCAGGCTGCTTGGAGAATGGGAAGAGCTTATGCAAATGAGAGGATAATACATATGTCTTTGAGATTACAGAGAAGTTAGACTGCAAGCCCCTTTCCTGTCTGGCTGCATGGTCAAGCAGGTTAAGATACTGACTGCCACGCTGGCAACCATTCTGGGCATCTGTTCGAGTCTTGGCTTTTCTAGTTAGTTGGCAGGCTCTGGCTCCTCACTGGATCCCAGGGCATTGTGGGCTGGTCCTTAAGCTCCCCTGTTCCCTTCTCCAGTCCCCTGCATTATCAAAATCTCATTCCAGTCCCCAGATCAGGGTGAGTGTCAGTGGGACTGAACTGCCTCTTCTGCCTGCAGGTTAACAGTGTCAGACACTTGGGGCATAAACTGCTGAGTGCTCAGATCTCTTACGTGGGAGGTCGAGAAGCACCCTTCCCAATGCCCTGAGATTGAGATCAGCTGAACTCCATGTGCATCTGCTGAGCCCCCTGATTCCAGCACAAGCATTTCCACCTCATCACATTAGACAGGGTCAGTGAGGGCCAGGATCAGACCAGGAACACTGCAGGTTCCTCAGGAAAGATGGGTTATCTCCAGCGTAACTGCAAGGTGAAAAGCAGAGGCTGGCTTTGCAGAACGTGCACTTTCACACCCCAACCTCAGGACCCAGTCTCCATTTCTAATTCCCACTTACACATCCATCCCCCCACAAAGTCACGTTGGAAGTGAGGAAGACAGAGCAGCAGGACTGAGAAGTGAGGAAGGAGGAAGGAAACCTCCCTGAGTTGGAGAGGGACATTCACTGACACTTGGCTACGCATGCAGGATCAAACTCCCAATTCAGGGCCGCAGTGCTGTCCATTGAGGGGAACCCAAGTGACCTCCATGGCAGATGCCCATGCAGAAGACAGGGCAGAGGCACTGCAGACTGCGGGAGGCTGTGAGCGATAGCACAAGGTCACTGTCCAGATTCCGCTGAGAAAAGGTCAGAAGACCTAAGTCCTCCTGAGGAGAGGACACAGTATTTAAGTTCAGAGAACTGTGTTCCCAGAACAAGGAGTTTTGCACAGGAAGAAGGAATTCTAGGTAGCTCTGGAGGGTTTTGTTTTATTTTGATTTTACTTTTTTAAGATGTCTTCAATCCGCAGATTGCAGTCAAGTTTACAGTGTCTGCAGCTTGGCCTGGACTCCTGTGTCTTGGACCCTGTTCTCACCACCACACTGATTTCAGAACAACTCTCTTCTTAAAACACCATCAAGTCTCCTGTCAGAGAGGACCCTGAGCACTGGGGACTGAGGTCAGGGTGTATGGGGTGGAGAATCTGGAAGGAGAAAGTGAAGCTTGCTTTTAGCAATCTTACCCCTAGACCTCATTGGTCCGATGCCCAACCATGCACATAGGGCACCAACCCATGCCTGCTCCTCACAGAACAAGGATCCACCCCAGGGACATTCTCTCTCAGAATCTGCTACACTGCAGTTTCAGATTGCATCCTGCATGTGCATACAAATGTTGGACAAAACCCTGTCCTCTCCGGTCCACGATCCTCAGTGACAACCTGTTATTTTCACTACTTCTGGCCACTGTAACTGTACCCATCAGGCAAGCTCAGTGTTCACTACTTCTGTGTTCAGACTTTGTAGCAATAAAGCATTCTTCCACCAAATGTGCATTGTGCTCTACCTGCCCTTGCTAGTAGCACCATGTTCACCTCTTCCTTCCTGACTTGAATGTAAATTACTCACCACCATGGATATAGTAGAATTAAATGGCATAATAAAGTGAGGCTCCCAGCACAATTGTGTGTATTTCTGCAGCATGAAACAACATATAAGCAAATGCAATTTATGTTAATGAAGGACTACATGTTCCTCCCCAAAGAATTCTGTATTTAAAAAATGATCCCATCATGCACAACAAATAAGGGAATTTCTGATTAAATTATGAAGCACATCCTTGATGTTTTTCTTTTTATTTTTTTAAGAAAGCTTTTATTTAATGAATACAAATTTCATAGGTATAGCTTTAGGAATATAGCAGTTCTTTCCTCCATACCCGCTCTCCCACCCCACACTCCCGGCCAACCTCCTATTCTCTCTCCCATCCCATTCTTCAATAAGATTTGTTTTTAGTTAATTTTATATAAAAAAGACCAACTCTATACTAAGTAAAGATTTCAATGGTTTGCACTCACACAGATATACAAGGTAGCAAGTATTGCATGAAAGCAAGTTTTACAGTTAATTTTCACAGTACAACTCATTAAGGACAGAGGTCCTACATGGGGAGTAAGTGCATAGTGACTCCTGTTGTTAACAATTGACACTCTTATTAATGAAGTCAGTAATCACTCAAGGCTGTTAACATAAGCTGTTAAGGCTATGGAAGCCTTATGAGTCCACAAACTCTGTCAGTATTTAGTCAGGGCCATAAGCAAAGTGAAAGTTCTCTCCTCTCTTCAGAGAAAAGTACATCCTTCTTTGATGCCCCCTTCTTTTCACTGGGGTTTCACTCACAGAGGTCTCCATGTTGATTGTTTTTGCCACAGTGTCTAGGCTTTCCATGCCTGAAATGCCCTCATGGGCTTTTAAGCCAGATATGAACACCTTAAGGGCTGATTCTGCAGTCAGAATGCTGTTTAGGACGTTTGTCATTCTATGAGTCTGCTGTGTGGACTGCTTCCAATGTTGGAAGATTCTCTACTTTTTAATTCTACCTATTGTTATTACAAGACACTTGGACCTATTTATGTGATCTATTTGATACTTAATCTTATCTATATGACCAATTCCACATTTATTATGGTTACTTTATGACATAAGATGGGATTACTACCATGCAGCTTAATGGCATTTGGAGTCCCATGGCAAATTTTTAGCTTTACCCTTAAGGGTAAGTCCGTGGGACTGTGTGCCAAACTGTACATCTCCTCCCTCTCTTATTCCCACTATTTTTTTTACTAGGATCTATTTTCAATTGGATTTATACATCTATGAATAATTCTATATGAAGTTAAGAGTTCGACCAATGGTATTAAGTAGAAAAAGAAACTAATAAAATAAGCTAATAAACTGTTCCTCAACAGTCAAGACAAGGGCTGCTCAAGTCATCACCGCTCATAGTGTCAATGCCACTTCTACAAATTTCCTTTTAAGTTCTCTGTTAGTTGTCACAGATCAGGGAGAACATAAGGTATTTGTTCCTGTGGACTGTCTTATTTCACTAAGTATGATATTTTCTAGATTCATCCAGTTTGTTGCAAATGACCAATTTATTTTATCTCTGTGTAGTATTCCATTCTTTATCCAGTCTTCTGTTGACAGGCTTTTAGATTGATCCCATGTCTTAGCTATTGTGAATTGAGCTGCAATAAACATTGAGGTGCAGAATAACACTTTAATTTGCTGATGTCATTTCCCTTGGGTAAATGCTAATGAGTGGGATAGCTGGGTCATATGGTAGGACTATATTCAGATTTCTGAGGCATCTCCAAACTGTCTTTCGTAATGGTTTTACCAGTTTGCATTCCAACCAAGAGTTAATTTGTGTTCCTTTTCCCCCACATCCTTGCCAGCATTTATGTTTTTTGTTGATCTCTCTAGGAAAGCCATTCTAACTGGGATGAGGTGAAATCTCACTGCAGTTTTGATTTGCATTTCCTTGATGGCTAGTGATCCTAAACATTTTTTCAGGTGTCTGTTGGTCATTTGGATTTCCTCTTTTGAAAAATGTCAGTTTAAGTCCTTGCCCATCTCTTAACTGGGTTGTTAGTTTTGTTCTTGTGGAATTTCTTAATCTGTTTGTAGATTCTGGTTACTAATCCTTTATCAGTTGCACATTTTGCAAATAATTCCTCCCATTCTGTCAGTTGCCTCTTCACTTTCCTAACTGTTTCTTTTGCTGTACAGAAACTTCTCAGTTTGAAGTAATCCCATTTGCTAATTTTGGCTTTGGCTGCCTGTGCCTCTGGGGTCTTTTCCAAGAAGTCTTTGCCTGTGCAAATTTCTTGTAGGGTTTCCCCAATGTTCCCTGGTAATTTAATGGTGTTGTGTCATGGATTTAGGTCTTTAATCCATTTTGCGTGGATTTTTGTGTAAGGTGTAAGGTGGGGGTCTTGTTTCATACTTCTGCATGTGGAAATCCAGTTTTCCCCAGTACCATTTGTT